GCAAAAGATCCTAGACCTGCCACCGATCAGTTGGAGCTGCATGTGCTAATCCTGGGCTCTCAGCAGAACCCAGGCAAACCTCACGCAACTCCAGCTGAATGTCCACCTAAGACTGTGTGGGGCTGCCTGCCACCCCCAAGGCTGCCACCAATCAGTTGGAGCTGCATGCGCCGATCCTGGGTTCTCAGCAGAACCCAGGCAAACCTCATGCAGCTCCAGCTGAATCTCCGCCCTAAGACTGCGTGCGACTGCCTGCCACTCTCAAGGCCGCCGCCAATCAGTTGGAGCAGCTGCGCACCGATCCTGGGCTCTCAGCAGAGTCCCGGCGATACCTCATGCAGCTCCAGCTGATTCTCCCACAGGCCTGTGTGGCACTGCTGCTGCTTCACCTCATCCACTTTTACACTTTTTTTTACAGTGCTTTTCAACCCATTATATGCGTACCACCTGTCAGGTGCAGATGTACCACCAGTGGTATGCATACCACCAGTTGAAAAGCCCTGATCTAAAGCACATGTGGATGATCTTCCATCTTCTCCTCTCCAGAGACATTTTAAAGAACCAGTCTAGTCACTGGTTTTTCAGTCTTTCCAGTTGTTATCATCTTTCCTCTCCAGTTAAGCTCTCCAGCAATCATATATTACTTTATTTTGCCATGGCTACTGTGAAAAGATAATTGCTAAAAGGGCCATTCAGGCCTTGAATATAATAAAAAATGTTGTGGCAATCACAGAATTCCATGACTGATCAACTAAGATACTTATCATCTAATACACTTGCTATGGTATATTAGCTGATGAAAATGACTCAATTATTGGAAAGCATTTATATGACAAAAATAATTATGCAATTTCTTGAACAGAGCAAAGCATCAGTGTAAACATAGACAGAACAGAATGAAAGAAAACTGCCAAGGAAACTACTCCCAGTACCATTTCCTATGTTATTCTGTTACTGTAAATTAGGTTTAAGAGGGCTGTGGAATGCTTCTAGGTATGGTTCCTAGAAAATGTTTCATGACATGTGGGTATGCAAATATAGCACTTGTCTGCAATTCTTTTAAAATGTGGCTGCTTTTAAAAAATTGCACATTCATGCTCCAAGCACATTTTTGACATCAGATCAAAAACATTGCATAGCTCTAATGATTTCCCTAAAGCATAAAGCATCTGAAGAAGAAACATCTCTTTGATATATCCATTTTAGGCAGGATATATCCTTTAAAACTATATCATGTTTATTAAATGGAAACTCCTTAAAAATTCCTATATTTAAACACAACAAGTAAACCTTTTTATCTGATTACATCAGTTCCATTGAACTACTAAGTGAAAACACATTTTTGCTGGTGAAATTCAGCTCCATACTTCCACCCAGTGGGGTTTTCTTGATAAAAGTTAAAGTACATTTTTAATAGGAATAAGATGAAGCAATTTTCTCCTGCTGCATTGGGGTAAATACATTTGTTACATTTATACCATTTTTATGAAGTGTTAAATTAAATATCTAGCAATGGCTTTGATCATTTTACATCATACTCACAATACATAACAATGTATTTAGCAGTAACAGTAGAAATTACAATTCTTACAGTATAAATTTACAGACTAACATGTCAACTCAGCCAATCCATATCTGTAGCCAGTGAATATTAAAAGATTCCACAGGCATATGAAAATTCTACAAAAATAGGTAGTTGTTATTGTATTGCATAGGTACAGTATACTGATGGACTGGGCTAATCTTCTGACCTATTACACACATGAGAGGAAGTATAGCAGACAGATACAAAATACCTCTGAATCTTTTAAAATTTGGTGAAATAAAGAAAGTTTGGCCTAGAAAGGGCTTTAGGTTCTACTCAGTTCTAGGTAAAATTTTTGCCTCAGAATTTAGAGACATTCTGTTGTTTCATCCTAAGTGTATGTATGCTGTACCTGATTCTGTTTTCTTCATTTAACAAGCCTGAACTCTGTTGATTCCTGCATAGACATCCCAAAATAAAAGATGGATTAATTTCTTGAATGTCTGTATGGTTATATTGCAACAGTAGTTGAAGCACTGCTTCCAATTGCAAATATTTTAGTTCTCTTATTATTTAGAGACAATTAACAAAAAAAATAAGCAAATGTATTGTTAATCAGAATGTTTCCCCTATAGAACTATTTATTTTATGTTTACTTATTCATATCCCCAAACTGTAATTTTTATAAATAATTCAAGGAGCAAACATGCAGGTAGACAATGATTAACAACCACAATTGAGACCAGAACGTCTGTTACTGAAACAATCATTAAGTTGCACCCAATTTTACAACCATTTTTGCCATGGTTAAGTGAATCACAGTTGTTAAGTAAATCCACCTTCTCCCATTGACTTATTCAGAAGTCAGCTGAGAAAGTTGCAAATAACAATCTTACTGGACAGCATTCTGTGAAAGTCTCAATTTTCCAAAGCCATATTAGGCAACTGTGGCTGAAACATATCATTCCATTTGGTGACATATAGCAGAGTGTGCTATTTATGAAGGCTAAGGTAAAATGAATGACTGGTTTAAAGAAAAGCTGAGAGAATTAGAGAGGGTGGGGAGAACTTTCCTTTTGGTTTTGGATATATTTCCAATTCAGAATAAGGAAGCTCTGGTGCTAGAACAGGTGTGGGTGATGAGCAGCCCTGCACAGTTGAACCTGGTAGTAAATTCCTTCAAGTGCAAAGGGCGAAATGGGACCTTTAGGCTCCCACCTTTGGCCACGCCTCCTTCTACTCAAGCCTCCCGCCTCCGCCCATTTGCTTCCAGCGTTCCTCCTGGGCTGGCCCTCCCCTGCCCATTCTCCCTGGCCAATGGGCCCATCCCTCCGCCTCACGCCCTTCGGCCCAGCCCATTTGCCGAGGCCCCCTTTGTCCCGGGCTTTTGGCCGCACGAGACAATTAGCCGCCAGCCAATCAGATGAGTGGCAGGCAGAAGCCATGGTGCTCGGGAGCAGCGTATGATTGCCGATAGGGGATTGCAGGGGCTTTGGGGGGGTGCGGATTCTGCCGTTGAAGTGGGAGCATGGGGGCCATGTCAGTGCTAGTTGGTTATCCCAAGATTCCCTAACTTGGCTCTTGGATGGCCACAGTTACCCAGCACGAGGGGCTCAGGTGAAAGAGATGCCGGCAATCCTAATTCCCAAGAATGAAGGGCTCAGAGGATGGGACGGAGGGAGAGGGCAGATCTGCCCTCTGCAGAGGGCAGATCCCCATCATCCCTGGCCTGGCAGGGGTCTTCCTGCCTCTCCTTTGCAGACAAAGGGGAGCTTCAGTGAGGAGGAAGAGAGTTTAAGCTCAGCAAGTGGAGTGGGAATCCCCCCCCCAAACAAATGTGCTTTGTGGGTGACCTCCCAGACAGAAGTGACCAAAACCTGCTGCAACCATCCAGCAGACAGGTGGTGGTGGTGGTGGTAATAAAAAACAAACAGCCTCCTGCTGCCAATCCTCAACAGAAATGCTCACAACGAAAACCTTGGTTGGGGAAGAGCGCGGCCCAGGTGGGTATCTTGCTCGGCTGGTGGCTTCACCGGGGATGGAAAGGGGGCATTTATCCCCCCCAAACACTGCCCTCTCATGAAAGCAGGATGAAAACTCCAAAAAATGACAAAGAAAAAAGGTTAAAACAGAAGAGTGCCTTGTGATGGTTCCCCCCCCCACTTCGTTCTAGCAGGTTAAATACAGTATGTAAAGACCACAAAAGAAAAAACTTGTTTTTCTCTCACTTTAATTCAGAAGGGAGGAACGGGAGGAGACGAGGGGGTGTTGTTTGTTTGCTTCAAAGGAAGGGAAAAAGAGGGGCTCTGGAAGGGGCATGGCAGGTGAATGGTGATGGCGTGTGGCTCCTAGCTTTGTGGGGAGGACATTGGGGGCGTGGTCTTTTTAAAAGAGCAAAACGAGGCAAAAAATTAGAAAAGAAAAAAAATGGGAAGAAAACTATTGCGAGGTTTTAACCTTTTAACCTGCTCACACTTTGACGGCAGAAGCCGCACCTCCCCCAAAGCCCCTGCAACCCCCTATCGGCAATTGCACGCTCCCACAGCACCATGGCTTCTGCCTGCCACCCATCCAATTGGCTGGAGGCTAACTGTCCTGTGTGGCCAAAAGCCCGGGACAAAGGGGGCCTTGGCGAATGGGCTGGGCCGAAGGGCCCATTGGCCAGGGAGAATGGGCAGGGGAGGGCCAGCCGAGGAAGAACACTGGAGGCAAATGGGCGGAGGCGGGAGGCTCGAGGTGTGGCCAAAGGTGGGAGGCAAAAGATCCTAGACCCTGCAAAGGGATGGAGAAAAATTGCAATCCCAGCTCTAGCCTCTTCATACCTATGGAAGCAGTTAAGAGTGTATATAGTTTTTCACACATGGCTTCTCCACTTTGGCTTTCTTTTTGTAAAATAAATGATACAATATAATATGTCATGTGTTGTTGGTATTCATCTGAGGTTGTATTTACCTAGTTTTAAGTACTGCTAAGGATCAGATGATTTTTACTATGTCCTGATAGGTAAAGCATGGAACTCAAGGAGGATGTGCTTTCTTTTTCGTACAACTGTACATGTTAAATTATTGCAATTCATTACAGAATTCTTGAACAAATTATAAAAGTACCTCTGCTAGTACTTTGAAGATTGCTTATGAAGTATTTAATAGTATTGACCTGCATTTGGTTGCTGAGGATATTCTTAAACCATTTATTATAATTTTCAGTGTTGAATGTTATCTCTATCTAGATATAGATTTACATACACAAAATTTTCCTGCCCTGTTCCAACTAAATCCCATTAATCCCATATATTAAATGTTTTTTAAAATTAATCCTGTTATATTTCTGTATGCATTTTATATGCTCATGTTTATCATAGTATTAATTACACTATATTTGGCAAACTATTTGTATTTTATCAAGATATGCCAAGAACACTTTGTTCATAGTCATTTAAATTTTTGAATATATGCACAAGAAAACAGAGAACAGAGGAAAACAAAGTATTGCAAACTTTAAGTAAACAGAAGACCAGTTGTACTAAAAACAGCAATACAGTTCTATACATGCCCAGTCAGAAATTGTATTAAAGCAAAAGGATTTTTTAAATCACAGCACAAATGTACATGCATTCCAAAACTTTAGCTGCATTTCTTAAAACAAAGATCATTTTCATATAAGACTATTCAAATTTTAATTTTAATTTTAAAATCCTTGCAAATAGATCTAAATTGGCAAAAATATTTCCATTATAATTTAATAAGCTTTAGTAAGAGCTGACACTATAAAATGAAAGGGTAGACCATTGCAGAAAAAAAAGTCTGTATCCAGTTCATATTATTTTTTTGTCTGTAATTTAAAACAATGTGACAAGTTATGCTTTTTGCTCAATTTTTTGAAGCAGATATTCCATTTGTAAATTTAGATTTGGCTGTCCTTTTCTAGTCCTTTTACTTAATATTTTGTATGTTTCCATTTTCTTCTGTTTGTAAAGTTTTTGAGCTTGTTCTCTTTCTTCTCTCCTTTTTTTGGCTGCCTGAAATTAAAAAAAAAAACTGGAATCATTAAGACCTGTACTTATTTCATTCCTTTAGAGTTCTTTCATATTATGCATGCTGCTTCAATCTTTGCAACTATAGACTGTATATAACAAAAAGTACCATCTATCAGCATGCATTCTGAATGCCCTTCTCATTTAACTCACAGGATAGAGCATGCAAATGTTGACATCAGTTTCTTCTATATAAACTTCTACTTTGAAACATAAACATGTTTTAAGATTATATAGTCCTATACATACTTAAATGGGATCAGCATTATTGAAATCAGTAAGAAACTGCCTATATAAAATTTAAAACACCAAGATATAGCCCTAAAACCAATGACTTTATTTAAAAGTTACTTACTTCTTTTTTCTTGTCTCGTTCAATCTTTATTTTCTCATAATCCTCTTTTGCTTTCTGGTTTGAAGTTTTTGCTTTACATTTTTTCTGAATCACATTGCTCCTGTGTTAAACAAGAATACTGGCAATTAAAATATGCCTTTGGTTAAGCAGAACTATATTATCTAAGCAGTTGGGAACTTTGATTCAATGACTGAAAACCTGTGGAATGGATGAATGGAAAAGATCCTCAGATTATTATTTGCTTCAGACCAGTACTTTATTTAGTCATTGTAACTTTTCTGGAGAACAGGGCTAGAAATAATTTTAAAATTGGCCTCCGGGGAAGAAATGGTGAAGTAAAGATGGCTTGCAAAAGCATAGCTGATGATTGTGGAATGAAGAGCTGGCAAATATACTGGCTCTTTGTACTACCTCTTGGGAGCTTGAGATTACCCACAAGTGCTCCAGGCAAATGCTTCTTGCAAGGAGACCAAAGACACCAGTGTCTAGCAAGTTTCTGTGGGAGATGAGGGAATCTTGTTCAAACCAAAAGTAAGACCTACCCCAAAAATAAGTCCTAGCTCAATTTTTTTGGGGTGGGACTAATATAAGCTCTACCCCAATAAGCCCTAGTTTTGAGGCAAGGTGCACGCCTAAAATTTAAGCTAGGGCAGGGGTGGGGGGGTGCAGCTGCCTCATGCGCCCCGCACCTGCTTAATGTTGCAGCCAGGCCTCCCATGGATTGACACTTGCTTCGCCTCACTGGCCCACTTCTTCTGTGGGATCCCCCAGTCTGCATTTCATAGTCAGAGGCCTTTCCAGAAGGCCTCTGACAGCGAAATGCAGGTCGGAGCTCCATTCTCTTTTTATAAAAAAAATTTAAATTAATTTTCTAATTTTACATTTAAATATTTGAAAAACAATGTGGCGGCTGAGTTGGTCAATAATTCAATAACATACAAATATCTTTAGTACAGATCTCAAAATATTACATTAAATAATTTCTCTCTTTTCCCCTTAGTATTTACTTTCTCATATTTAAATTAATACAATTCTTATTATATCGCTTAAATAAAAATAACTTTCTTACATTTGTCAATAATTTTTGTCTATACATATCTTAGTTGTTTTAACATTCAATCTTTTTCGACAATCAATGTCCTGGTTAGTTTTTCCCAATTTTTAGTTTCCCACTAATGTTTAAATTTAACATTTAATATTTATAATCTCCAAGTTTTAAATAACCCCAATTTTCTTTATCACAATTCATCGCAGGATACACATCTTGTCTATTTGAGTTCTCACCATCTTACATCAACCAATTAATAATAGAATATAAAATTCTTATTTTCTGGTAATTTCCAAATATCTTAAATTTAGTAATCAAAATTTCTGTTATTTCAACATTTAATACTTCCTCTCTTTTTCTATTAATATCTACTATCTCATATTTAAGCTAATAATTTTTATTATTGCCACTAAATATTACATTCATTGATAAATTTTTAGCTTATATCTACCTTAATTACCTTTACGTTTAACCTTTATAAGCAAATCAACATTCAAATTTAACTGTTAATATTTATACTTCCAAGTTTTTAATGACCATAGTTTTCTTTATTTCCACTCATTACAATAGCTAGTATTCAAAGTACACATTTTATCTATTTGCGTATATTCTATTTTCATTCTCACTAGTAAGTCAAAATCCCAACTTTCTTCAGTCTTATTCTAGCTTTCTTTCTTTGCCAAATCGTCTTCTATGTCCGTACTTTTGAGTCATCAAATAAATCTCCCTATATTGTTATGTATGTTGTTTGACGTAGAAAAAAACCATCCGGTCACCATTTTTTTGAGAGGATTAACAAATCGTCTATTTTTCCATCTCGACGTAGTTGTCCTGAACTGTTTTATCTTCTCTTCAGTCTGTTCTTCTTCTTGATCCTCAGGTTTCCTGAGCTCCATTCTCAGCTGCAGAAGTGTGGCAGCTGGGTGGAGTTGTCAGTGCTGCGGCAGCAAAGTGAGTAGAAAAGACACCCCCCCCCCGGAAAATAAGACCTGGTGCCTCCTTTGGAGGCAAAAAAAATAATAATAAATTAAGACCGGATCTTATTTTCAGGAAAACACGGTATCTTTAAAAGGTCATTGGATTTCTAATAACTTTCACAAATTGTTAACTGTTTTTCAACTATTAGAACTTTTGAATTGACAAATCTGGGTGAGTTTCCTTCAAGTCTTAGCAAAAGAAATTTTTAAATATAAGTTTAAGGACTTTTTTGAAATAATCAGCAAAGGGATGATTAGAGCTTTGATTTTGGAAAGTTACAAATAGACTAAGGGTCCAGATAAACTGGAAATAAGATTTTGGAATTAATTATAAGAATCCTCTCTGTGGAAAACATTTTTGTTTTAAATTCTTTAAAAAAATATACAATAGGATAGAATTTTGAAGGTTACGCTCTAGAAGGAACTAAAGATTGCATTAAAGAGCACTTACAAATTCAGAATAAAAAAGATTGCTAGGAAAGAATATAAAGTTGGTTATTTGATCAATATTGTTCTCTCTGTTGCGGTTGTTCTGTCTGCCAACCCTTAATGAACTTTTGCTGAAATCAGGGCTGAATGACAACGCTTTAAAGGTTTGTTTATACGTAAGTGATGGGATACTCGAAGATGAGATCATTTGTTTATTTTAAGAGACTGTTTATACTTGTTGTAATGAAGTCATTACTGTATTTTTCTTTACTATATTTTTTCTTTCTCTATTTTTCTCCATTTTTATTTTCTGCACTATCTATTTTTGCTTTTGTTTTATTTTTTTAGTTTGTATTAGTTTTTATTGTTGCAATTTTAATTTTTAATAAAATTACTATAAAGAAGGAAACCATTTTACTAAGAACAATAGCATTCTTACTCTGAAGTTACAATCTCCTTCTCTTCAAGTACTACTGGTTTATATTTTGGTTTCTGCTGTTTCTGAAGCATTTCCTCTTCAGCTAAATAAAGATGTTTCAGGTGTTCGGGATAATCTTCGGTATACCCAACATTCCTCTGAGGATTCACATTTCTTTCCTTTTTAAGTAACTTTTTGTAGTCACGTTGAATCTTTTGTTTTCTCCAAATGGCAAAACCTTGACCTAAAAGTTTAGGACAAAAAGATTACTTACTTTTTAATGAATGTATTTCTTTTGTAACATGTACCACTCACCAGTCTGATACTTAAAACTGTATACCAATCTGTATCTGGTAGTGATTAATTGGTTACAAAGTATACACCTTGAGATGGGACAAGATTCAAGGATACATATTACCATAACCCTTTCTCTCTTCCACCTATAAATTCAAATCAGCTGTTACATAACAATTAGAGCTTTGGCTAAGTCAGCGGTCCCCAACTTTCCGGCTCTGTAGACTGGCCACAGGTGGGGTGGGAAGGGGATGGTTTTGCTTACCATTTGCACAAATGGAGCTTTAAGCACTTGTCTGCCCTTTGTGCAGCCCATTCCCAGTGGGCCAGACCAGGATTTGGGGACCCCTGGGCTAAGTTATATATAAAAGCTGCTAGAGTCATATGAAAAAGTACACCCATGTAAAGTTTTTTCTTTAACATATGATATACAAATCATTTGTCTTTATTAACATATGATACACAAAATCATATTTGTCTTTATTAAAATAGGATATAACTGTTTCTCTGTGGCTGTACTTTCCCTTACTAATTTCAAAATCAGTAGTTATTTTTTTTTAATGTAGTGGGAATCCTTTGCATATATATATATATATATATGAATGCTCAAAATTATCATCTATTTTATGTAACCGTGTGACTGTTGCTCTTTGTTGTAATAGACCGGTGTTTCTCAACCTTGCCAATTTTAAGGCATGTGGACTTCAACTCCCAGAATTCCACAGCCAGCATTGCTGGCTGTGGAATTCTGGGAGTTGAAGTCCACATGCCTTAAAATTGGCAAGGTTGAGAAACACTGTAATAGACTAATCTTGTATTAATAAAATGTTCTCCAACTAGTGATATTACATTTTTGCCAATAGTAAAAATGCAGAAATGATATGTTCTCTTCCAGGTTAGCGTCGTTAATTTCTCAGTCTGACCCGTTTCTGCTTTTTTTCGAGACCAGTCAAAATCGGCTAGCTTTGATATCTAGCTTAGCGTCACGGAACAAAGTAAGACGTCAAGAGACCACGCTGCAGAGAAACCATAATGTTTTTTCCCCTTTGGCTCGCCCAGCTGCGAGGTTCATACCCTCCTTCAGGCTTCCCCTAAACTGACGCGTGTCCCATCGCCGGGGCTGCTTCCGAATCAGACCAGCCGGAGCTTTTTCCTTTCCTCCATTTTTCTTGAAGCTCGGAGAGTCTCTATTCTTCCCAACCGGCGCCATCAGGCAATCTATTCCGTTTTGTCGCACGTTGTCTATGTCATCAATAGGTGTCACCGACGTCTTTTCAGCTGCAGGGCTATCCAATTGGGAAGAACGTTGAAATAGCTTTGTTCGGCACTTGATTCACTTTGCCTGGGAAGAAAGGTCGAGCGAGCACGGAAGGCAAGGAGGGAGGGAGGAGGCGAAAACCAGCCCCATCGATGCTGAGCTATCGGTATTCCTTCCCAGCATTTTCTCCTCGATGATTGGCACGCAGTTTCAGTGCGGGGCTCACCATGTCCAGGTGTCCTCAGAAGCCTCCGCCGGCCGCCTCCCGAGAGAATTACCCTTTGCCTCCGGAGCCTTCCGGGAAGACAGTAACCGAGCGACTACGGGCAGTCGCAGAGTTCCTCCGGTGGGGACTTCCGCTGTGCCAGACCCACACGGTGGAGTTCTACACGAGGGGGCTCTGGGAGAAGTTCGTAGCTCTTTCTCCCGAGGCGGTGCTGGGCGCGCTGAGCGGAGAGAGGTTGCAGCACCTCCTGGAAGAGCCGACTCCGCAGCGCCCCTTAGAGGATGTCGCCGGTAAGAGCCACCATCTGGAAAGCTACCGGCGCTGGCTTGAGCTCTTCGAATATACAGTGTTTCTCAACCTTGACAATTTTAAGGCATGTGGACTTCAACTCCCAGAATTCCACAGCCAGCATTGCTGGCTGTGGAATTCTGGGAGTTGAAGTCCACATGCCTTAAAATTGTCAAGGTTGAGAAACACTGGAATAGAACCTGCCCTCAGGGCGCGCGCGGTCCGGGGACAAGCGAGAACTCCGGGCGGGACGGAGTCGGAGCGTTAGGAGACGAGCGCCGTCTCGCTCCTGCCCAGTTCTTTCCCTCCGCTCTTCGTCAGCTTTGCTGGCATCTTCATCTTTTCTTTCTTCACCACCTGGAATCGGGACGTGGTTGTTCGGTCTACGACAGGGGTAGGCAACCTTGGCTCTTTTATGACTCGTGGACTTCAACTCCCAGAATTCCTGAGCCAGCTTGGCTGGCTCAGGAATTCTGGGAGTTGAAGTCCACGAGTCATAAAAGAGCCAAGGTTGCCTACCCCTGGTCTACGAAGATTTGAAATAGATTTAAAATACCTCTGCTGTCACCACGTTAATCTTTTAGCGCAGTGTTTCTCAACCTTGGCAACTTTAAAAGGCGGACCAGAATTCCTCAGCTAGCACGTTGTCTAGGTTGAGAAACGGGGCTTTTGGGAACTCGGAGATTCCCTAGGCAAGCTCTCTCTTTTTTCCTCTCATCCTCTCCCTCCCTCTTTCCCCGCCCTGGAATAGACCTGCTTAGTTTTATTATGCCCGCAGTTCTAATTCATACAGTTCCATTTCCTCAACCGAGCAGGCATTATAAGCAATTCACATAGTACATTTAATAAAGAATGATGATATATATTTAAAATGACGGTTTCTGAAGCAAAGCTATCAGCATTGTTGGAGGGAACCTTTGGGCCAGTCGCTTGTTTTCAGTCCTACCCACCTTATATGATTATGGTTGTGGGGAAAATGGGAATCAGCTTTATATAAAAAAAATAAAGGGAATACATAAATTAATACATATAAATAAAAGCTAATACTCCACGATACTCTCCCTGCTTTATTTAGTGTATTAGTATTGTTTACAATTCAGGAACTGATCTTCGACTTTTCCAAGCTTCTGGAAAGTATTTAGAGTTTTAAATATTACTGAGATAATTTGATTTCTCTTTCAATGTAATTCATAATCTTATCTAATTGATTTATGTAGTCTTTTGAAGCCAACATTTTTTCTCTTTTTTTTATAACTGAAAAATAAACATCTCCACATTATTAGGAGATATTTTCAGTAAGGTTCCTAGATTAGTTTTCGGTTTTAGTCTAGAAGATATAGATTTTGCTATGTGTTGCATCCAAAAGAAAAAAAATGTGGTTTATTACAGACAACGGGTACACTTGTCCTGTGTACATATGAACCATATTTTTTGCATTTAGAATCTCATGTGCTGCATAGTCTAATAGATACCAAACTGAAATGAAAGCTTTATTCATGAATTAAAATTCTTGAGCATTTGTCCTATTTGTTTTAGAAAGCAAAAAGAAATCCATATTAAAATTCACTAAAAATGCTGCTCATGATTTTCATAATTCTAAAGTTACAAAAGAATTGTTATATATTTGCCTTCCATTGGTATTCAAGTTTTCAACTGATTCTGCTCCACTTGACACACAGCAAGGACATTCATTGGATTGATTATATCTCCTGCTTCATCATAAATCAGAAAGAGGACTTGCTATTTAATAAATGAACATAAAAGACATAAACTGTATGGAAGTAAGAACCTGTGTCCTACTGAGTCATTGTTTCATTGAAATTTCTTTACTAGATTCCTAAATGCCTTCACATTGGCAGAGCTAATGTACTTGAAAAGTTCTTAAAAATTCTGGGAGATATTCAGAAATGTATCTGCCTTGAAAATAGCCCATGTTGAACTGTGTAGCACAGGCACCAGGAGCTGACCATATGAAATTATATTGTATTTTGTATTTTGCAATATGTCATAAAATATTTTATAAAATTTATAAAATTTCAATTTTATGGGAATCATGGATCATGTATTTTGAACACATGCAGTAGGTTAGCCTATTTCAGGTACCTTGATTGAAAAGTTTTGCTCTGTGATGCCGTGTTTCATCCAGTTTCATTATTATAAACTGTTTCCTATTCTTTCCACACAGATAAATCTGGATTTTACAACATTTTTTGTAAAAATACTCAGAGGCTGATTAATGTCCAGGCTTTTGCATTAGCTGCTAAATACTATTCAATGCCAAATCTTGGAGTATGCATCTCATTAGAACAGATACTCGAAACACTGGACAGAAACCAGCAGTCAAGATCAAGTAAGTTAATAATGTTATACTGTTTTTCATACCTATACAACTTTTTCCTTAAAATCCAATTATTAGGAGCCATGGTGGTACAGTGGTTAGAATGCAGTATTGCAGGCTAATTCTGCTGATTGCCAGCAGTTCAATTCTTACTGGCTCAAGGTTGACTCAGCCTTCCATCTTTCCAAGTTGGTAAAATGAGGACCCAGATTGTTGGGGGTAATATGCTGACTCTGTAAATTGCTTAGAGCAGTGGTCCCCAACCCCGGGCCGTGGCCCACTAAAGGACATGCAAATGGAGCTGTGTTCACATATGGAATCCTCCCCTTTCCTCCCTCCCCCTTGCTAGTCTGCAAAGTCAGAAAGGTTGGAGACCACTGGTTTAGATAGTATGTTAATTTTTAATTCCTTTTGTTTCTGGAAAGAACATTTTAAAATAACAATAACAGTGTTGGAAGGGACTTTGGAGGTCTTCTAGTCCAACTTCCTGCTCAAGCAGGAGACTCTGTACCATTTCAGACAAATGTTTGTTCAATCTCTCCTTAAAAATGTCCAGTGTTGGAGCATTCACAACTTCTGGAGGCAAGCCGGTCCACTGGTTGATTGTTCTAACTGTCAGGAAAATTCTCCTTATTTCTAAGTTGGTTCTCCTTGATTAGTCCATTGCTTCTTGTTCTGCCTTCAGGTGAGCCCCTCTTCTTTGTGGTAGCCCCTTAGATATTGGAACATTGCTATCATGTCATCCCTAGTCCTTCTCTTCATTAAATTAGACATACCCAAGAACTGCAATTGTTTTTGATATGTTGTAGCCTCCAGTCCTCAAATGATATACATATAATTCAGTTCTTAATGAGCTTTGAATTTGGGCAATCATTTTTTTAGTATTTATGGACTGAAAATCAATATTTTAACATAATCTTTTCTGCTATCAATAAAAAATCTAAATACAGAAACTGATTTAAGAAATTTTCAGTTGACTTTTAGCCAAGGGATTCTGCAGAAATGAAATTAATGATATGTTCTTCCAAATCAAATCCCATCTTAGCCATGAAAGCGAGCTGAATGATGGGCCAGTCACTCTCTCTCAGTGTAACCAACCCCACATGGTTGTTGTGGTAGGGAAAATAGGAGGAGGAAGGAGTATTAAGTATATTTGTTGCCTTGAATTATTTGTAAAAATGGTGATAGACAGACAGACAGAATAAGAGCTGTTTCTATATCATAGATTTCCATGTGAAGTAGTTTTAATACCTTATTAAAGAAACAATTTTGGAAAGAATTCCCTTTTGTTTTCCAGAAATATTCAATTTTCTCTGAATATTCTTGCTCTAAGCAAATACAGATATATTTTGCATATACTTCAAATGGGAAGGAACAGTCTCAGCACTTGAATCATGCTGTCATCTTTGCCTCTGTTTTCTTCCTGACTCTCCAATGACCTTCGCTTACATAAGACAAAGGAGTAATATGGTATTCATATGAGTTGGCATATAAAGGCAAATCAAGCGATGCTATGTACAGTAATTTTATCTTTGGACTGGCTCAAAGATGGAGTGTAAACATGAGACTTGTGAGCCTGCATTATTATTTAAGATCTTTGGAAACAAAAGTCTCCAAAAGTCAGAATCAGAAACCCTTGCATAGCAAATATATTGTATTATTGATTCAGAACATTTCTAGTTATTTATTGGGGCATAGCCATAGTTTGTAAATAAGATGCACATGTAATGATATTTTAGTGATATATGTTTCCCCAGACTCTTAAGCTAAATGTGTGTTTCTTTTTGATCAGAGGTAGAAATGAAAACAGATAATTTTATGAATGATAAGAAATCACATGAAGTGCAATTGATGTCAGATTTAGTAGATGGCATCGCAAAATATTATGGCTTAAACCAGGTAAGAATCTTTATTACTTTATCCCTTGTGGGTTGAATTTCTTTCAAAGGCTGGGATGTGCTAGAGGAGATGTTATTGCCTGTTGGGGAAGATGGTAATATCAAATTAGATTTTGTTCTAGATTTGCTTTTCTTCGTTTGCTTCCTCATTCTCTTCATTTAACAAGCAGGGTTAATCAATGCAAAGAGTCAGAAGTTAGAAATGGGATATTTTTTATTAAATGTGATTTGAATTTAAATTAAATTAAAGAAAATTATATTTGGCTTATTTGTTTGTTGATCTGCAGGAAGTTAAGATAAAGAGTAAAGTATAAGTGTGTTTGTACAGCTTGTCCTAATTTAACAAGCACAGTTGGAACCAGCAACTTGGTCATTCAGCAATATGGTTGCTAATTGAAACCATGACTGTGTGGATGATCTTACTTCAGCTTTCTTTTGCTTTACAGACCTGCAAAGGTTGTAAATTTGAAGATTGGTATCAAAGTACCTTTTTCATCGTTGTCATAACTGAATGATCACTGTCTGAGGCAGTCACAATTTCTTTAGTTTTACTAATTATTGCTTTTGTTTTAATAAACTGTAAAGGGCAGCTTTATATTAGATTTTTTTAGTCCTTATAAGAAAATGCCAAATGTAGACAGAGTTTAGATCTGTAAAATAAAGTACACTATAGCAGAGGTGTCAAACTCGCTGCATCACATGATGTGTCATGACGTATTGTGACTTTTTCCCCTTGCTGGAGCTGAGGTGGGCGCGACTTCCGCGTGACGCATCCAGCCCATGGGCCGGCAGTTTGACACCCCTGGTTTATAGCAATAGTGATCTCAAAGATGCTTTCTAAAAATTTCTATTTAGCAAAAGGATTTACACTGTCCTTAACTTTATCTTTCTACCCAAACTACGATGGTATGTAAAATGTACAATATTGCTTAGATGATAAAAAATTAAACCTCATACAATAACACTTTGCTTTTCTGATTTCTGTGTGAAAGATGACTCTAATAGTCTTTAGCACAACTGGGTAGGTCTAAAGTGCACTATAGCCCAAACACCTGGTGAGGAAAAACCCTGATAAAAAATAATGTTTCAATCTTCTTGTGCCTTTGCCCTACTGAACATATTTCACAGCATTTCAAATCACATTTAAGAACATCAACAGAGACCCCAGTTAAAACAAACTTCAAATACAATAGGATATATTTAGGAAGTAAGAAACGTTTGTTAAATTAGAACCATCTTTACCAAGTGGCAAAAAAAATCTTCCCTAGAATGAGATCCATTGGGGCTTTACTAGTAAAGTGCTTCACAATATTGTGCATATAGTGGCAGTTCTAAATGTTTAAAGGAGATGGATAATAATTTGTCTTTCTGCAATCAGAGGTGCATATAAAGCCCAAATATTAGATGGACCAAAGTCTTGCTTGTTAAGAAACCTTTGGCTTTGCCTAACAGTCAAGCAGTTAAAATCAAGCAATGACTGATAATTAGTTGTATAAACAAAACATGGCAAGAAATCAGAAGAAAAGTTCTTGAATAACTGCTGTGGTAAAGCTAATGCCTCCAGATCTAGGCTTAATAATGTGTAGTCATAGCAGGATAAGAAGCATAACACTCATTTTAATATACAAAATCTGTAGAAAGAAGGGAGAAAATATTTGGCTTCAGTGAATCCAATCATATCCAGAGATTATTTATATAGCCTGGAATTGGGGTAGAACAAGCCACATGTCAATCCGATGCATATCAGCTTGCTCCATTCTAAAGGTCAGGTCATGATAGGCCATAGAAATGCTAAGAGAATGTTAGTCATCTCATATTTCACAAATTGTCAGCTCTGATATGTTTCTCATCTACATCCCAGTCATGCCTAGTGTGTTGGAATTTTTAAAAATGCTTTGTTAACAGGCTTCTTGTTGACTAATCCACAGAGATTCTTAAGAATGAAAGCAAATATACGTGTCCCAGAATAATGTTGCAAGATCCAATATGGGTTGGTCAAGATTCTTCAGTTAAAATTTTATAAAAACATAAGCTTTAATAATAAAAATGAAAAAAGAAATAGTCTGCAATAAAATTTTGTTGTTGTTTTTTGCTCTGAAATTGATCAATACTTTTTTAAGAGCTCAATGTAGCAAAAATATACATAATTACTGTTGAAACCTGTCTCATAAATTTATTTTATCTCTTGGAGATAATAGTATTTTCTGTGGACTTTAACAAGAAAGTACTTGTTCAAAGGCATTTGGTTTTTCTCTCTTTTCTCAGGTCTTTGTTTCTAAGATAAAACTTCAGTAGGGCTATCAGATTTGGATCACAAAAAAGTCAAAAATTTTCCTGGGAGATTACATGCTCAGTATATCCTACCTCTGCCCCCCATGTTCAACAGAAAATTGTCCTTACTAATTTCCAATCTGACCTTAAGAACAAGCTGTTACAGAGGGCTGGGACAGCATCAAGGCCTGTTTTAAACTCTCATCTCTAGCTGCACACTGGGGCTGGATTTTCACTATGCTTTTTTTGGCTCATGTGTACAGAATGGGCAGATTCCGTTTGGAGAAGATGGTCCTGCAGATAAAAACTCAAATCATAAGACACTTAACCAGCACCTTTATATGTATCCAGAAATTTATTTCTGGTCAATGCAGTGTCCACAATACAGGTTAATCCTCCTGAAACAGCTGTTACTTACTGAACTTGCTTTTGCATTCTGCATTAATTTTAATTTTTGGATACCTTGCAGAAGCAGTCCCAAGTAAAATGCATTACAGCAATCTACACATGAGATGAAAAGAGGTTTAATGATAGTCACCAAAAGTGGGGAAAGATTTTCCTAGCCACACTTTTTGCTTGCTGTTCTAGAAGGAACTCTGAGTTCAGAAGAACCTTCAGGTTACAAATCTGCTTCTTCAGGGGGAGAGAAATCCTATCTAAAGGAAAAGAAAAATGGTTTTGTGATGAAAAAATCATTTCATCGTGTTGTGATTAGTTTTTATTTCATCCAGTCACTCATAGCTTCCTAGCATTGAGTCAGGTAGTGGGAAATTTAACTGAGTATCATCGCCCTGCTGATGATTACTTATCCCTAAGTGATAGATGATCTCTTCCTATGGTTTTATACAGATATTAAAAGCATGGAATGAAAACTCATCTATCAGAGGGACCAGAAGCTCAGTCCCCTTGCCCCCCCCCCCAGTATTATAAGCACTGATTCAGCAAGATAAGGAACCACTATAACATAAGTACCAGTAACACCCAATACCTGCAGTAAGTCCAGAAGGATACCTCTATTCGTCTAGTCATGTTGCAGGTCTTCCACAAAAATGATCAGCAGAGTTTCTGACTGATGACCAGATGCGAAGCCTGTCTTGGCTTCCATTTCTTGCCATTGACTATTATTTCCTGTGATCAGATAAAACAAGGTTCTGTAGTTCATATTGCTGGCTTGTTCCCATGAAATGCAAAAAAGGATTAAAAATATGAATGCAGGGAGCTCATTTATAGTTTATTAATAAAATGTCTTATCATCCAAATATTGCCATCTGTTAAAACTGGCAAAATGTAAAAAAATAATTGCACTTTTAATAACTGCACTTTTTTCCTATTGCTTTCATAATATGTTTATGCTTGGTTTTAAAGGGGTATCTGCTACTCTAAAAAAAAATCTTATTATTTACATTCTAGGTAATTGACTTGGGTTCTGGAAAAGGTTACCTGAGCTCTTTCTTGTCATTGCAATATAATCTAAAGGTTTATGGAATTGATTCTTCAAACAAAAACACCCGTGGAGCTAATGAAAGAAACAGGAAATTAAAAAAACACTGGACAGCCTATCAAAGACGTGTGGAAGCAAATGTCAGAGACCAGACATTGAAAGAAGCCAAGAAAAATGCAGAACAAGATAAGGAGAAATGTAACACAAACCCCAATGAAACGTGGTTAAGAACTAATAACAATCTTCAGAACCAGGTCCAAATGGCTGTTTCAGATGCCATTGGTAATGAATCAGCTGAAATTAGCCCAGATCCTAATATAGGCATTATTAAAAATCAATCTGAACTCAAGCCTGAGATTTGGGTACAACTCATTGAGAACAATATACCAGAAAATGTATTTCTAGATATTCTGCCTACTGATGCTGTAGAAGTGGATTGTTCATCCAGAAGTAATTGCAGAAAGCTCTGTGAAGAAGAGAAGGAACAAAGGAAGGTGGCTTCTTTGAAAGCCAAAGCCAGCCAGTCAAAAGAGGCCAACATATATTCTCCATTGACATCGTTCATAACTGCAGAAACAGAGCTATGTAATATTGTTGGAGATCTGGAGGTTATTTGTTGTTCTTTTTTCAGCTATTTAATCTGATTTTAAAGTCCGAATTGAAAAATATTGAATTAAAACTGCTTTTCTGTAAGAGCTTAGAGGGGATACAAAATAAAATGTATTTACAGGAATACCATTGTTCCTGAAAAGTGGCATAGTAAACTTGCATTTATATATAACATTACAATTATATTATTATATGCTATATGTGTTCTCTCTCTCTTTTTCTCTCGCTAGCTATATATAGTGCTTGTTTAATGATTGGGCACTTGCAACAATTTGAAGTTATGTCAGAATTCCCCAAATGTACTTACAACCCAGTTCTAATTCTGGCACTCCCTCCCCAGGCCTGTAGTCACATAACTGCATTTTGGGCACTTGGTAGCCAGCTCGGTTCCATGTTCATGTGATATGATTTACATTTTTTGGCCAGAAAGTTTTGTTGGAAGTATGTTCATATAAATTTTAATTATTTCATATGAATAATAACTATAGCATAATATACTAATGTATACACAATTAAATCCTGTATAAATTATTTTAATCTAATTGTGTATGACTAGGACAAAAAAGGGAGATGGAGACAATGGGAAGACTCTTGAACACAGTTCAGTTTATCATGACAAAAAAATTACAAATTAAGATTTGCAAAAATTGTATATAGCAAAGCACTTGCTTCAGATTCTTACATTTTGGACATAATGGGAAGACAGCTTAACAATATTTGGAAAGACAGATACAAAATCAAGAAATAAATTACCATGTAATTAATAGAATTCAGCAAATTATAGCTAGTTTCTCTCTGCCAGCTGAAAGCTTCTATCGTTAGGAGTAGGATAACTCGCTGTTCTATCACATTCTTCCACACAATATGCAAATCTAACCATTTTTGATTTACATCACGTTTTAGTGTGTAAAACATGCATTTAAGATGGAACAAATCTGCATATAAAAAGTAATGCAGTCCTCATTTAGCAATTACAATTGGGACTGGCATGTCTGTTGTTAAATAAAGGTTGCTAAGTTGGAAACATGTGACTGCAACTGTACTTCCCTTTTTCTGAGTCCCTGGCCCTTTAGAACACACCCCAGCAGGGAAGGAAATTTGTATTTGTATTTGCATTCATTGGAGAAGAAGGGATTTGAAGACACAAATGGGGAATACATATCAAAAGCTTTGTGGGCCTGGAAGCTGTACGTATGCTATGCAAATAGCCTGGTGTATTCTCCATTGTGCGCCTGCTTATTCTCATGTAATCCCTTACTCTTCAATCTCTGCTCTGCAAGTGATAGGAAGGAAAAAAAACAGGTCAGGAACAGAAGAACTCCTCCCCTCTGCTTTTTAAAGCAATCTCTGTTCAACATGGGGGGAGGGAAGAGTGATTTCTGTAGGCAGACTTTACTAATTCAGATCTCTTCCTAATTCTGCTCTTATCCTGTCAACAGACCATCTTCCCATCACTATGGCAGAGGCTCGCCAAGGACTTTTAATTTTCCATTATTTTATACCCCTGGATGAGAGAGAAATGGAATAGTAATGGACTTCTCTTCTTAAGCTCAAAGGACTAGAATTTTTCTAGGGTTCATAATTTACTGATCCCGGTCCAAGATTGTTATAATGTGTACAATGATAATTATTAGCATATGTGCTCATCTAACCCTCATATCCTGGTTTGAATTTTGTTTTGGTTTCTAGGACTGTGTAGTTGTGGGTCTGCATACCTGTGGTGATCTTGCTCCAAGCACATTGAGACTATTTAATGCTGTACCTGAAATCAAGGCAGTTTGCAGTGTAGGTTGTTGCTACCATTTGCTTTCAGAGGAACATGAAATGCATGAAGGTAAGACTTTTTAAGGGTATATGGAATTAATAAATGCTTGTCATTTTTCCTGTCATTGAATAATTTTTCATGTTTTTAATTATGCTTTGTGGAGAAGTTACTTCTGAATGCCCTGTGGTTTTCCTGTTTGGCATTCTTTTTACAGTTTTGTAATGGTTGTAGGCTTGTTAATGCAAAACACTTTTATATGGTAGTGGAGACAGCTTTTTTTACTTCACCTCCATAGAAAAAAACATGTTTGTTCATTATTATAATTCCATTCTCTTAAAGAATGAATGTCCTTGGCAAGGTACAGAGAACAACCTCAGAGTAATACATTATATGGTAACTTATGCATATATGTCTCTGAAAACATTGTTGCTGCTTACAGAATTTCCTTTATAAAGCAATTCAACTTCATAATGTGACATTTTAAAGAGTGGTAAAATATTATAGTTGCAAATATGTCATCCAAACTGGCTTAGGATATGAGCACTAGTCAACATAGCTGTAAAGACATGTACAGAAGTTTAAAAGGTTCAGAGATAATAGTGCATCTGTATAATACTGTACATTTCAGAAGGTACAGAAAATTTTGGGAATATATATATAGTTTGAAATACATGTTCATGTTTTTCTATGGTGTAAAAACACACACACACAATATGTCTACAAATTGCATTTGGAATTATATCCCTCTCGTATATATACATAACAGACCAAAATTTTATTTGCTTGCTTACTTATTATATCAATTTATATGGCTACCTATCTTGCAAATACATCTGTGGGTGGCTAACAATAAGTATTATAAAAGAAGGGTCACCACGATGAATCCAACAATAGACAAAGATCTCTCAGTGGACCATCTAACCTTCCCATCCCCCAAGCTCTGGAGCACATCCAGGTCTTCAATACATTACACAGAGCAAGCAGAGTGAAGACCAGTTTGGTCTGGGTGGGAAAATGGATGGTGTTTGAGAAGGTAGGTGTTGTGACAGAAAAGGCATGCTTCAGATTTCTCATAAGATGACATTTTTTAATTGAAAGGATCTGGAGTATGCACCTCCTTTTGGATCTGGTAGAAGGCAACAAACAACTGAGGACAGGTAGCCCCACACATAACCTTACCACGTGCCATTGTGGGTTTTATAGGTGAAAATCAGTTTCTTGAATTCCACCCAAAAGACAGTGGAAAACAATAAAGGAGTATTTGTAGCTCAGGATTGAAATGAGGGGTCCTTGGTGCTTTCTGAGCTTGGTTGTTTTGTTACAGACATTTCATTACCCAAACTAGGTAATGTCATGACTGCTAGTCACCAAAGAGATCTCACAATGGGAACTAGTGCAGCTCATAGAGCACAGGTGTAACATGGGCATATTGAGGCATCTTCCCACACCACTGCATTTTGAATAAGTTGCAGCTACCAAGTGGTCTTCAAGGACAGCCCATGTAGAGGGCATATTCTATTAATTTCACTTTATATGTAATATCATACCATATTTTCATGAAGGATTTTCTGTCTTTGAGGTAAAACTACAAAATCTGTTTTCATAATTAAAATCTAATTTCATATTTGTGTATTTCTGAAAGAGTTTGTACATGCGTTTATGTTTTCCATCAGCTAAATGGTACTTTTTATTATTGGCTTCTTAAAGGTAATAGTCTAGACTCACAAGTGTGAATTAAATTTAGTTTACTGTGTCACACAGATGCAATCCTAGTCTTCTATCACAATGTTTACATGCTGTACCCTGTGTGATTTAAAAGCAATTTCTCCTTCACTGATTTCTTCCATCAAAATAGCTATTACCGTAAATATCTATCCATCAAATCCAAGTTGGAGGCCTGTGTGCAAAATAACCCATGAAGGACGGTCTAGGTTGTTTCCTGTTTTGCCATAATTTTTATGTCATTTGTATTTTACTTCACCATGATTTGTGTAATACGTTACAAATGGCTGGGTATTCACACATTTGTTAGTTATAGTGTATGGTTTAACACAAATGACGTTCTTTATGCAACATTAAAACAAAAACAAATCATTATTAGTGATCCCAATCTGTGAGGTGAACAAGGATTTTTACCACAATGTATGATATATGCAGCTTACTAGGCTGAAGTAAAGCAACAAGAAGAAATAATTCACATGCTCAAGTTCAGTTAAGTATCCCTTCCTGTTTGGCTAGTATAAGTATGTTGATAAAAAGAAAATAGACATTGTGTTTATTAATTTAATTTATCATTATTTTGAATAATGTGATGAATTAAAAAAATCCGTTACAGGAAGCATTTAATTCAGTAAAAAAAAAAAAAGATAGACAGACAGACTCTTTTGTCTCATGAGAAATATCTGCACAGTGTATGGGCTAGAGCCTCCCAACTCCAGATGAGAGATGCCACAGAAGGTTGAGGAGAATAACAGGGTTAAGATTCCGTGGGACTTCCAGATTTAGACTGATAGGTAAGTACTGGCCCAATTATCCAGATAATCATGGTAATAGATCAGAATTCAGCAGTGGTGATAGATGTAGCAGTGCCAACGGACAGCAACAGCAGGAAGAAAGAGCATGAGACGATGGAGAAATACCAGGGCCTGAAGGAGGAACTAGAGAGGATGTGGAAAGTAATCACAAAAGTGGTCCCAATAATGGTGGGAGCATTCAGGGCTGTGACTCCTAAACTGGGAGAGTGGCTCCAACAGATCCCAGGAATGATATCAGAGCTCTCTGTCCAAAAGAGCGCAGTGCTAGAGACAGCTAAGATACTGTGTAGAACCCTCAAACTCCCCAGACCTGTAGTAGAGAACCTGATATTGAGGAACACACATAAACACCCATAAAAGTGTAAAAGGAATTTTAACACACACCCAGACATTTTTAAAATGTAATTCCTAATTGAAATGATTTTGTTCAGACTGTTGGATCCAAATTCATTGAACTTGGGTAGCTTTAACAAATTTGAAATAAACAAGTTACTTAAATAGCTTAAAATAATCTCTATTAATACGCTATGTTTTGTTAATCAGTTTAAGTTGCATTCTTACACCCATATTTTAAATGATATTATAAATCACTACCATGCTTTAATTAACCCAGTTTTCTTGCTTCATATTACAGATTGTTAAACTCATTGCAAGAATTGCATTTTCACAGTTCATTAACGTAAAATGTCATTGCTTTTTATGGTTACGTGATGTGAACACAGACATAGGTGTTCATGAAGGGATTTATGGATTGTTATGTACAAGATGAAACAATGTAATTGTTTTACTTTTTTCTGCAGAAGGGATTCAGGGAATATGGGGTTTCCCTTTGGGCCGCTATTTGAAAGAAGAGGGATGGTTCTGTGGCCGTAATGCTAGAATGGCTGCCTGTTTGGTATGAATTCCTTTTTTTTTTTTTTTGCTTCTGTTTGACTTGCAAATTCATAGCTTTGGCACAGAATTCAGGATGTGTTGAGTAATAGATCATGGTGTATTGATTATCACTTAACAAAAATAGTGATCATTTATTAAAAAAATGTGCATGTTGTGTCTCTGTAAGTTTGAAACAATGGACACTGGTAAAATATATTGGATCCATATTTTATTAAGTTTAAAGGAGAAATGCCAATGTAAAAGAATTAAAGAAAAAAATCAGTAAAAATGCAGTACAATTGCTATTTTCATTAGTCTTTACTGGTTCTAATACTGGCATAGTAAATAAGATGGCCTTTTCACTGCAGGATCAGATCTATGGTGTCTTTTTAATAGAATGACTATGTATCCATAACGCAGTTACCCAATATTTAGGTAACCATAGTTTACTTAATCGTACTTTCCGGGTTTGCATCAGATAGAGAACTTTATAAATTATAAATGGGTTTGCTAAATATGCAGTTGGCTACTGTGTTGCTCACTGTATAATGGACACAGTTAATATGTAATATTTATTCATTTGCACTTCACATTATCATAGCATGGTAACAAACCATGAAATGCATTCAGGTTTTTAAGCAAATTTATTTTGAGTGGCTGTTCTTCTGACACTTAAATCCTCTCCCTAGTTAGATTCAAATTAATATGATTCATTAGCATTTTCATGAAAGCTAACTATAAATCAGAATGGGTAGCAGAATGTTAAACAAATCAGAGATTAGGTTTGCTTCACTGCTTCTGGTTGCAATGCTATCCTGTCTTGAAACATCTTTCCTATAAATAAATGCTTATTTAATCCTTGTCTGATCCTCTTATATACTTCAATCTTTGCCCCTTTGACTTGCTCATCCTCTGCCTCCGTTTTCATAATTCCTGCAAGTGCATTCAGGCGGCTATTGCTTTCTTTGCACTTAGCTTTTTTTTTCTTCAGTAGCCTGATCAGAATAAAGATACATTCCTTTTCTCCTCTCTTCGCATTGTTCTCTTCTACGTTTTTTTTTTAAATTGGATTTCTTTTCAGAGAAACCATGTTATCATTAACCTTGTTTTTGCACAATAGAAAAATATAATTAATAATGACAATGCAGTAGGATACATTCCACATTTCTTTATGTGGAATATATGTTTAGTAATGTAAGAAATTATTCTCAGTCATCCAGGTCATGGTTGTCCCAAAGGTGTTTTTTCAAGAGGCAACTGGATTTTCTCTTTTTTCTTTGAAGACGTTTTGCTTCTCATCTAAGAAGCTTCTTCAGCTCTGATTTCTTTTGGCAGATAATTGAACTATTATTAATTCATGCAATTCAATAGAATCTCCTGTCAGCATTAGTATTTGAAGGGTTGTGGAGTATTCCTCAAACAATTTTTATCTAAAAAGTGAACAAAAAGTCTTGGAACAGAAAATTTACTTATTTTTTAAAGTAATTCTATGGATCTGGTTAAAGTTTTTTTATTCATGTTCTGTATTCTCAGTTTATACATATCTTAGTGTTCCTAGTACTTTGTTTTTAAGTATATTCCTCCATCTTCTAGAGTTTTTTCTTTTTCTTTTTCTTTCTTGTCTCATTCTTAGCATTTTTAAAATTTGGAGGTTTCTTCAAGCTCGTTGACATCTCTCTGTTCAACATAAACATATTTCAACATATTTGGCAGATATTTACCAGGACTGTGCAAATCATTCAGTAAAGCACTGGCTGCCTGTGGCCTTCCGGGTGCGCTTCAAGGTGTTGATTATCATCTTCAAAGCGCACCATGGCATTGGACCTGGTTACCTCCGAGACCGCCTTCTGCCACAGATTGCCTCCCACCGGCCGATACGCTCCCACAGAGAGGGCCTCCTCAGGGTGCCGTCAGCCAGACAGTGTCGGCTGGCGACCCCCAGGGGGNCAGCAGGCAGGACTGGCCTAGGGGTATTTTAAAGGGGTTTTAAATTAAATTTTTAGTAGAAGCGGCCAAATTTAAATAGTTATTTTTAATCTTTTTTAAATTTTGTATTGTACTGTACCATTGTTTTAAACTGGCTGTAAGCCGCCCTGAGTCCTCCGGGAGAAGGGCGGGGTATAAATTTAATAAAATCAAAATCAAAATCAAATCAAATCAAAGCAAATTAAGAACACACACATACACAACACACACACACACACACACACACACACACACTTTGAGCAGCTATATTGCTCAAAGTGTCAGTGTAGTTGCCTTGAGACCCTCCCAAATCTTCTTAGCATGTGTCTACATGGATAACTGAAGTGAAGAAAATGGCCAAAAAAAAGTATTTAAAAAATACTTCATTTGTGAAATAGTTTGTATGACCTAATAAAAACTGGATTTTGGAAGGGAAAAAAAGCATTTTGGAATGCTGTAGTCCTATTTATAAGAGCCTTGTGGCACAAATGGTTAGAAAGTAATATGGCAACTCTGCCCACAGCCTGGAGCACGAACCTGATCTCAGCCTTTCATCCTTCCAAATTCAGTTAAATGAGGGGCCAGGTTTTTTTTTTTGGGGGGGGGGTAATATGCTGACATTGTAAACTTCCCAGAGAGTGCTGGAAAGCACTATGGAGGGGTATATTAGTCTAAGTGCTATTGCTATTTCAGTTATACATTTTTATAGCTGGGATCAGGATTGGTTTGCAATCACATTGGCAAACTTCTTCTAAAATTTGTTACTGCTTCCAACAAGGACATCTCGTTCAGTCTACTCGGGGAAGAACAGAAAGGAAGTTACCTTTGAATAGCCAAAAGTCCTAAAATGTGTAACAAGCCATGTGGCAATTCTGAAATTCAAGAGAAGCTGCCCATTTATTCAGTCTGTCATGTGGGGAATACTTTAATGAGAAATCTTATTTAACCTACTAAGCCAAAGCTAAAGATATATGTATGTATGTATGTAAATAATGTATTGAGAAACAAGAAAATGAAATAAAGAGTGCAGACATCATACCCATAGAATTTTAAATATAGTCAAGTTATTTTGATTGGCTAAGGTATCTACTTATTATCTCCTAAAAAAAAAACCCTTCCCAAATAGTTCTAGTTAGGGACTATAGCTTTTCTGTTGACTTTGTTGTTATATTACATATGCAGAAAATGGCCAATAGGTTTTTATGCATGCATAAAACATGGTTTTAAGGCTTTAAGCCAACTCTGTCCAAAGTTCCTTTTCTCTGATCAAAGTGCTTGTAAGATTGTGGCTGCAGCACTCGGGTTGGAGAGGAAAGAGAGCAGTTATGGGTATATTTTCTAAGGACCAGATTTTTTTTTTACAAGCACTTGTACCAAGCTGTGAACCATATTTTGTGAAACACAGTCCTAGAATAGTTCTTGAGTTTAGCATGTATTCATTGCAGAAGATGGTTGAAGAGAGATCATCTGGATCGCCTGACTGGATATTCATATGCATTCCTGTTTGTTGTTTCTTTGACTTTCTCTATTTTTGGGAAGATAATTAAAAGCCATCCTTTTTGGAAAGACTGTCAATATCTTTGCCCATTCAAAGAAAATGTTTTATCTCTCTGTGTAGCCAACAAATTGCAAAATGTCTAATGGCTAAATATATTTTCTTAATAACACTTGCTGGAATTTTAAAAATTCTAATTTTTACTGATGTACCATTGTGTATGATTACATTGAGGGGTTTTTGGGGGGAAAACAATAGCTGAATTCCACTTATTTTGGCCCCTCAACAAACAGTTTAACAGATGTTTTAGGAGTATTGTTCTGCCAGATTAAAAATAGGGTATTATTATGTGTTTCTTCAGTCTTTAATATGTATCCTATCCCTCACTATGAATGTGGCACTGTAGAGAAAATAGAAAGGAGGAAGTTGACTTTAAAATGGTATCATTTTGTGTTAGATTGTTTTAAAGAGTAAAAGCTGTATGAATTATAACAGTTCATGTAACGTTTTTAACTGGAAAGATTCAGAAAGTAAAAATATAATCTCATGAGATTTGTCAGTAAAATACAGCATTTGAATGACATTGACATTCATTCAGTGATCATTGTTCATATTTTATATGTAATTACGAGAGGGAAATTAAAAAAGGTTTGAAAACAAAAGGTTATAATAAAAGCTAATAAGTGCATATAAGAAGAGTCTAGATGTGAAATAAATCAGACAATTAACTGTTGCTGTTTTTCAAGCAAATAAGGATCTAGTCAAACAAGTAGGGAATTTTATAACGTTGTATATACCACATCTTATGTACAGAGGAAAAAGCTCCTATTCATAGTATACTAGTTTGGACTGACACAATCTGGTTTGGATCAAAAGTTAAGTGCAAAATGCTCAAGCCTTCAGGGTCTTAATCTTGTTCATTCATCAGCATCTGATTTTTTTAAAAAAATCAATACAAGTGTGAAGTAGAAAAAGGATGCTGGTACTTTTTAAGAGTCAATTTAATGACCTGACGTCTTTAAAAAGTACCATTTAAGACAAAGCCATCTTTCTTGCTGTTTTAGTTTCTTGCTGCTTGTTTCACTTTTATTTGTTCCTAATGCATCTTTTTTCCTTTGAGCACTGCTCAGAACTAACTTAAAATGGAGTAGCATCAAATAAATAATAAATAAATATTTCCCCCTAGATTGCAGTAATGAAGCTGCATGGAAATCTTAAGAAATGAAAAATAAATATATTTTTTTCTGGATTGCACAAAAACCTGAAAACAGTGCAGCTACTTTTATTACTTGTAGAGAACGTTGAGTTTACAGTTGCATAGAATTTAAAGCAATTCTTCAGAATCATTTGCAAATCATGCATAGTCCTGTTTTGTAGCTTTTGTTACTAAAGCCCAAAAGAAACTTCCTAACAGAGTGTTATATGTTTCAAGTGTGAAAGAAAGCCTAATAATTGAATGAACTGAATTTAGAGTTAGAATTAGAGTCAGTAAGTTAGAGACCTGCAGAGATAGTATCTAATATTAGATTATGGATTGATGTTCTACTTTATTAAGTTTATATATTAATGAGGATACATTGATGCATTCTTTTGTTATTTTGCAGAAGTGAATTGGTATCCTGCTTTAACTTAATAATTTTTATTTCATGATTGCATACTTCATAGTACATTATCATTTTAAGGTCATATGTTCCAAATATATGTACTTGATTTTACTGAATATGAATTAGAAAAACTGTGAGAGACTAAAATTAATTATTCATAAATTTGGGAAAAATTATTATAAAATAAACAGCTCGGTACCAGCTTGACTCTTTGTAGAAGAGTGTGTTCAGTTTGTGCATGAATATATTACCAACACAAATACAAATATCATAATTATACTCTTAAATATCATGAAGTGATTACATTTTTCAAGAAGCATCTTAATATATAATTTGTTAAAAAATAGTTTTCTTTCATGAAGTCTGCTTACTTAAAAAGTTTAGCTTAATGAATAAATACTTTCATTTCTTTTTAAAGGCTCTAGAACGGGTTGCAGTTGGTCAGATGGTAAGTAATGTCTGTTTAACCATTCTAAGGATCTTTTCTTTGTTTGAATACTTTGAACACATGACCTTATGTTGAACTTTGTAATTTGCTACGGTAGAGTGGAATAACTGGCAAACAGCAAAGCTTGAACTGGAGATAGATTGATATTTTGCATCATCAGTATCATGACATTTTCTGGCCTTTGCATGATTAT